GATACCAAAATGCCGTCTGACGGTCTGCGCCATCACTACTAAATTACCTGGCGCCCCTTGCTCCAGGGCGCGTGGTAAATAATGGGACTACAAAATAGTTCATCAACTTGCCTATTTGCGTTTGTCCAACGATGCATGATAATGCCACCGGCCGGTCTGCACTAATGTCGTCGTATTTCTTTCCTTTTCTAATCTCAGCGTTTTTTTGTCACGCAGAAATTACCACTGACGTGGGACAGAACAGACCGCTGCGTGTCAAGGTAGGGGGAAAAACGAGGAAGAGCAAACAGCAATATTTCTCCACAATGCCCCCGCTCGATATTACTCCGCTGATCGAATCTTTTCAAATGAAGACGCATATTACCGGCTAGTGCATATAGACACACGTGAAGTGTTTAATCAACGACTACCGGGCCATTTCTCAGTGTTATCGATGCAAATAAAGGAAATTCCTTAGTAACTTTGTGCCAAATATAGATCTAAAAATGAATTTATTGACAGATATCGACAGTGTTCGCCCTTGCTTTGCACACCATCTGGTGATGCTCTGTGTCCAAATCGGAAAGCTATAGGCCTACAAATACAACTTAATATATTGCTTTATCGTCCGGCATATATGTCCACAAATTAATTTTTTTCTCGGCCCTAAGTTTGATTTAAACTTTAGCACAAAACAACAAACATTTTACACACTATCCTTGTATGCAGGTGGAGGTATTACATATTTTTGAGTATATTCTCGCGAAATATCAAGTAATTTGTTTCGAAATATCGTCATCTGTTGAACTGTCTGTGAAGGTATCCCTACGGGGAAGATTCTGCAAAGCCGTGCACGGTATTAATGTCCCGAGATTTGTGTCTAAGCACAGCGTCGCAAATCTAACTAAATTCCCCCTTTAACCTGGGGCCCAGTCGTCCGCTAATCATCGTCCAAGGCGAACAGTTGGAAAACAGGTGGCTGCATCTACGACCATACCAGCTTGTATTTATAGCTCATCGTTCTTGCTGATCGGTTGTACCTTTGTTTCCTTTTTAAAAACCTTTCATTCTGCGTAATTAAACCCTTCCAAGTGCCGATTGTTCCGAGGCATCAGTATTTGGTAGGTCCAGTCCGGTCAGGGTATA